AAAAAAAAAAAAAAAAAAAAAAAAAAAAAAAAAAAGGAGAGTGAGGCAGACATTTGGACAGCAAAGTCACAGCCAGCAGGTGCCCACAGGCACGGACACTCTGGGAGAAGGGGCTTTGGGCATCGTGGCACTTGCCCAGGTGGCGTGAGGACAGGGCTGTCACCTCCCCGACGGTGTCACTTTGCTGTTGCACCCTGCTCCGTGACTTCTCCCTGCGGTTCTGAGCAGAGGAAACCACCACTGACGGGCAGTTTCCTCCSCGCCGCTTTCTAAAGAGCGGGGCTGCCATCGCCATCGCCCATGAGAACCTCCCGCCGCCCCTTCGGGACAGGATCCGAGCACAGAGGATTCCCATGGGGCTGACACGGTGCCTGGCAGCTGCMTTCCTCTTCCTCCTCCTCCTGGGTGAGTGTCCTGCCCAATGGCCGGAGCTTTCTTGGGACAGCTGCGGGGRAAGCAGAGCACGGGCGGTTCAGTGGCTGTGGCAAGAGGTGCATCAGCTCCTTCTGCGCTGTGGCTTCGCTCCAAAATGAGAGCCCAAACCCTGAGAGGGTTTCAATGACGGGACGTTCACATCCCCATTGTGTGGCCGATTGGGGTGTAGAGGGGGTTACCTCACCCCCTCTTGCATTGGGAGGGGATTTCTGGAGGTTTCCTGGGCAGTGCTGTCACCTGCTCTTCTCCATGTTTTTTTTTGACTCAGGACCCACGGCCTGTAGGCATTTTGCTTGGTGTGCATGCTGAGCTCCAGACAGTGCGAGTGTCACCGCTGGGAGCTGTGCAGGAGGGGAGGGTCCGTGGGTGGTGCAAGCAGCAATGGAGGGAACCCTTGATACCTCCTGGCACCCCCTGCCTTCAGAGCAGTTCCYGCTGACCCCTTCTCCTGTGCCCTCCTCTGTTTCTGTCCATGGAGCATCTGTGCAGCAGCCAGCCTGTCCCACATCYCCCAGCTGCTGCACTGCATCTCCTGCTCTGGCAGTGATCAGCTCTGCCACCTGCTCCCTGTCCCCCACAGGGACCTGAGAGCTTGGCCCCCTTAATTTTAACACACCACAAGCTTCCTCCAGTGATCTCAGCCCGGTTGCTACTTCCTCTGCAATGCTGGCTGAGAGGTGCTTCAGGCACTAAGGGGCTCGGCAGCCCCCCGGCCACGATGCTCCGGTTTCTGTCGTGTGAGCCCCAGTGTGGCAGGAGACAGCAAAGTTCAGGGCTCGTTCTTGTAACCCTACCCTGCAAACACCGTATGCTGACAGGTCTGACTGCTGGCCAGCGCGTGGTCACTGTCCAGGAGGGACCCCTGTACCGCACCGAGGGGTCCCACGTCACCCTGTGGTGCAAGGTGAGCGGCTACCAGGGCCCGGCGGAGCAGAACTTCCAGTGGTCCATCTACCTGCCCTCGGCCCCCGAGCGGGAGGTGCAGATCGTCAGCACCATGGACCCCTCGTTCCCCTACGCCATCTACACCCAACGCGTGCGCGGCCGCGGCATCTTCGTGGAGCGGCTGCAGGGGGACGCCGTGCTGCTGCACATCAC